CATGGTGCAGATGTTACGTATCTCATCTCATAGGCAGCTTCTCCTCATGACTGTTTCTCACAAGGGCAAACACTGACCTTTTTTGCTTCTGTGGAGCAGGTGCACACTCAGAGGGTTGTGGGCTGAAAGATGCAGCTAAAAACATCTGCCCATAGGAGCTGCCTTTGAGTGGTAGGCAGGATTGCCAAACGGGAACTTCCTTCCAAGCTTCTCCGTGTTGGTATTGATTTGCTTTAACAGAAAACCTTGCCTTCTGAATACGGAACAAAGGACATGAGGTTTCAACATATCACATATACCCACTCCTCCTCCTGTTAGTCCAACAGGAAAACAGTCTATAGGTGCAATGATATGCATATGCCTGATGAGGAAACATAATCAGTGAGTAGCAAAATTTATGCAGAGTATTACTAACCTTTGTCCCAGATTAAAAAGGTGCCTAGGCTGGAAATTCAGCTTGACCTTGGCACTGGCCTCCTTGCAAGACCTTCAGAAACTGGTGCATGCTATGGGTACCAAACATCAGAGCTCAGTTATAGCTGCCAACTTGTTTGCTTTCCTCTCAACCTCCACAGACCAGACATTTCTCAAGAGAACGGACGAACAGCAGAGCAGCTTCTGGGATGTGCCTGGGACTCTGGGGCTGACCTGTGCTTGTGGGGTGACCCTTGAGACCTGGGAGAAAAGAGTGAGGTGAAGGCACTTCACAGCGGAAAAATGTAAACAGAGATTTAAGAGGACAGGGCTCCAATAGTACTTTGATGAGGACAGGAGTAGTTGGGCTGGGAGGAAAGGATTTGGACATGTGTTGGTAGCGACTTCTCTCTCAGGAGGGGTTACATCTAGTGAACACCTGCTATTTGAAAGCTGAGCATCAGCTGTGTTCCAGAGAGGAGGCTAGCTTGTTTCTCAGTTTGCCTGTGCATTTCCACCCAGGGTTGGCAGGAAAGAACGGACTGAGCTCCAGCTAACTCCAGCTTGGGACAAGTAGCAGGAGCTGCAGGTGATCCTCCCTGCCCCCAGGGGAAAATATGAGCCTTCAGCAGCAAATGGCAAAGGCAGACCAGGAGAGAGAACTCTGGGCCTCAGGCAAGTAGAGGACTTTGTCATTTCTACTGGAACTGGAAAGATGACAAAGCTGGAAAGGGCAGGGGGACAGCATGTGGAGGCGAACTGAGCAACTGTGGGCATGAGACCTGCTATCAGAGCAGTGTTTCTTCTTCAGCACAGAGCACATTTCTCCTGGGGTCATCTGTGTGTATTGTCTGGGAAATCATCATTCACTAAGCATTTCTGTTTTGGCCAATTCACCTCCTCTTCCAAAGAAAATTCCCAGGGATGGAGGAGTGAATCCTTTCAAACTCATCCCTCACAGACAACATTTGCCTTATCCAGCTCTGGGTACAGCTGGACCCTGCCCAGCCCCTCTGAGATGTTTGGTCCCGCAGGAGAGGGAGAGGTGGAGCCCAGTGGGGAAGGAAGGAGGGAGGGCAGATGCAGAGTTGCCTGTCAAAAGGGAAACTCTTCTTGTGCAGGGATCAGAGAATTTCTGCAGCTCCCTCACCCTGCTGCTCTTTTGGAACAGACCCTCGGATCCCCATCTCCTGCCAGACCTGTTCTGTAGCACTACACAGTGAGCACCTCATGGCCAGGCACTTCAGGGCTTTGCCCACTGCCCTGTAGTGCTCTGGCCAGGGACAGTTCTGATGGTTGTGGAAGCCCTGGGCTCATGTCCTGCTCCACTCCATGTTTGTGCCTCAAGGGTGTAAGCTAGGCAAGGGGACATGGCTCTTTCCTGGCTCCCCAAGGCACAGCAGGCTGGGGGCAGTCACTAGCAGTGTGGGATGGGACATGGGTCAGCCTGGCCCCAGAGCCCAGCCCCAGTCTCACCGTCAGTAAGAGAGGAGCACCCCTTAGCCTGTGGGGCCAGGGTGTGCTGGGGGTCCTGGGCCCAGACTGCAGAGCTGGGCTCTGCCTGCATTTCTTGGTGTCTGAGTCTGCCTAACTCCTGTCCCTATTTGTCAGAGGGGTGATTCTGAGTAGTGTCTCCAGAAGCATCTGTTTCATGGGACAGATCAACCAGTGCCTCAGAAACAGACCCTCTGAGAGATGAATGCAGCTCCTCCCAGACGTGAGATGAGGCCTCAGCATGGTGATCCCTGTAGAAGAGGGTTGGGAGTCCTTCACCCAGCTGTCTGACCATGAGCACTTGGCTTTTGTTGTGTTCCTGGCTCTGGATTTCTGGTTTTCATGCCCAGCCAGAGGGGTTAAGGAGATGCTCTTGTTGTGAACACATGTTTTGGAGGAATTGAGACTGCCCTGGAGCAGGGCTGCTTGAGGGACCTATAACTTTGTGCCCAGGATGACAAATGAGTACTCAGTCCCCTGCAAAGCTGCTCGCCCTGACTGTGGTGCTTATATTCGTCTGCCATGTAGAGTAGGGGTATGAGATTTGATGCTGGCTGGCTGGGTCAGGACGTAAGGTTTCACTTCCAGAGACATCTCTCTCGGCAGAATCAGTCACTATACATTGGTCCCAGAGTCTTTGCCTGCCTGTTTCTTATCTGGTTTTAGCTCTATGATGGATGAGTCAGTTTATGGAGGCCTGTTGGAGTGGGTCAGGTGTCTGCTCTTTTCCTGGACACAACATGAATTTTTTTCTTCTGTTCATAGAAAGGACTT